GGGTTTGAGTCTTAGAAATGGCTTTGGGCTTCCTGCCTGGTTTGGGTTTGGGTTACTTTTCTGGTGTCTAAGGCTTGGCCATTAGGAGGATTAATAGAATCTTAAGTCAGGTCAAAGAGAAAGATAATGAAGTCCACATTTTTCTTGTCAGTGGGGTGGTGCATCAGAGAGCTGACTGGCGCAGCATACATGAGAAGATATGCCAGCTCCTGATTCCCCTGCGCACTTCCATGCCTTTCTACAATTCTGAGGAAGAACGGCAGCATGGCCTGCAGCAGCTGCAGCAGCGGCAGGTGAGGCCTACAGGACTGTTCCAGAGTTTACCCTTGGTGCAGTGAAACTACCCAGGACAAGGGTAGAACTGTGTTGAGATCATTAAATAATAACCCTCCTAGAGGGCAGAGACTTTGTTTTATGACTTTATGTCCTTGATACCATTCTGTCCATTGATTTCCATATATTTACTGAATATTCACTGTTAGTTTGCTGCTGGGGCTGCCATAACAAACTACCATAGACACGGTGGCTGGAACAACAGAAATGTATTTCATCATGATTCTGAAGGCTGGAAAGTCCAAGATCAAGGGGTCAGCTGTTTGGTTTCTTCTAAGTCCTCTCTTCCTGCCTTCCAGATATCTCCCTTCTTGCCATGTCCTCATGTGGTCCCCTGTGTGCACACATCCCAGGGATCTCTTTGTGTGTCCAACTACCTCTCCTTACAGAAACACTCATCACATCAATTTAGGGTCCACCCTACTACCTCATTTTAACTTAATTCTCTCCTCAAAGGCCCTATCTGCAAATACAGTCACATTCTGAGGGACTGGGATTAGGGCTTCAACAGATGAATTTGGGGGGAACACAACTCAGCTTATAACATCCACATATGTCAAGTGCTGTAATAAAATTCTGTCTACATAGTAGGAGATTTAAAAATGATTCATAAATATATTACTAGTTCGTAAAGATTAGCAAATCTAGCCCCTATTTTTATGATATTGATAGCATCTCAACCTAAAAAAATCTCCTTTATAAGCCATACATTGCAAAACACCAAATGTTTCAATTTTAGTGTTATGAAACTTTGATAGTGGCCTTGGAACAATGTAGAATTGAAGTTGTTTCTGATATTAGGTAGGCAAAAAAAAAAAAAAACGTGAGATGTTTCTCTCAAAATTAACTGATACAGAAAGGCAAAAAGGTTTGGATCACCCTGAGACATGATAGCTTTGCTAATCTAAAATTTTATTAGAACTCTTAAGAATATTACTCACTTACTCATCTAATAACTTTATATTAAGCATTCAACTCTGAGAGGCTGAGGCAGGTGGATTGCGTCAGCTCAGGAGTTTGTGACCAGCCTGAGCAAGAGAGACCCCATCTCTACCAAAAATAGAAAAACTAGCTGGGTGTCATGGTGGGCACCTGTAGTCCCAGCTACTCGGGAGGCTAAGGCAAGAGTATCACTTGAGCCCAAGTGTTTGAGGTTGCTGTGAGCTATGATGATGCCACGGCACTTTACCCAGGGCAATAGAGTGAGACTCTGTCTCAAAAAAAAAAAAAA